TCTCTATGATTTTGATTACTCAAAGTATTCAAAATATGAGATACTTCGAGTATCTCATGTAAGTAGAATCACACAGTATTTGTCTTTTTGTGACTGACGTTTCACTTAGCATAATGTCCTCAACGTTCATCCTTGTCATAGCACATGCCAGAACTTCACTCCTTTTTTCTTTTTTAAATAAATTTATTTATTTATTTTTGACTGAGTTGGGTCTTTGTTGCTGCGTGCAGGCTTTCTCTAGTTGTGGTGAGAGGGGGCTACTCTTCATTGTGGTGCACGGGCTTCTCATTGCAGTGGCTTCTCTTGTTGTGGAGCATGGGCTCTAGGCGTGTGGGCTTCAGTAGTTGTGGCACGTGGGCTCAGTAGTTGTGGCTCATGGGCTCTAGAGCATAGGCTCAGTAGTTGTGGTGCACGGGCTTAGTTGCTCCGCGGCATGTGGGATCTTCCTAGACCAGGGCTCGAACCTGTGTCCCCTGCAATAGCAGGTGGCTTCTTAACCACTGCGCCACCAGGGAAGTCCCTTTCACTCCTTTTTAAAGCTGAATAATATTCCATTGTATGGATATACCACATTTTGCTTATTTATTTATCGATGGACACTTGGGTTGCTTCCATGTTTTAGCTATTGTGAATAATGCTGCTATGAACATGGGTGTACCACTATCTCTTTGAGACCCTGCTCTCAATTCTTTTGGGTATATATTGATTTTCTTGATTGGATTTCATCATCAAAAATTAGGAGTTTTTCATAAAATTTGGAATTCAGCCATTATTCCTAGAAATATTTTGTCTGCCCCTTTCTCCCTCTCCTTTCTTTCCAGCACTCCCATTATGCATATGTTGGTGTGCTTAATGATATCAACTGTCTCTGAGACTGTTCATTTTCTTCATTCTTTCCTTCAGATTGCATAATCTCTTTTGATTTATCTTCAATCTCCTTGATTCTTTCTTCTGCCAGCTCACATCTACTGTTGAGCTCCTTTAGTAACTTTTTCATTTCAGTTATTATACTTTTCAATGCTACTTTTCTCTTTGGTTCTTTTAAAAATGTGTGTCTTTTTTTTTTTGGCTGCATGGCATGGCTTGCGGGATCTCAGTTCCCTGACCAGAGATTGAACCCAGGCCCCCTGCAGTGGAAGCATGGAGTCCTAACCACTGAACTGCCAGGGAATTCCCTAAAAATGTGTATTTCTTTATTGATATTCTTTATTTCATGAGCCATGTCATCATACCTTAATTTTTTAAAACATGCTTTCCTTTGGTCTTTGGACATATTTATAATAGCTGCTTTGAAGTATTTTTCTACTAAGTTCAACATCTTGGCCCCCTCAGTGGCAGCTTCTATTGCCTGGTTTGCCCTATGCATGGGTCACAGTTTCCTGTTTGTTTTTTTTTCCTTTCTTTCTTTCTTTTCTTTTCTTTTCTTTCTTTTTTTTTTTTTTAACTATCTTACCATTTGGGGAAAAATTGAACATTTTACAGAATATGTTGGATTAACTCTGGATTCTGATTACCCAGGTCCACTTCCCTCTTGCCCCCCTCTTACCAGCCTTTTTGTTCTTGTTGCTCATTTTATGTTGTTTGTTTGCTTATTTGTTTAGTGACTTGCCTGGACTAATTCTGTAAAATCTATTTCTCTTGCAGTGTGCAGCTTGTGATATAACTGCTCATGTTTTTTCCTTATTCTTATTTTAAGCCTGGCATCCTGGAGGTCATCCGTGGTCAGCAGAGCTTATTGGTCAGTCAGTGATTGGCCAGAGGTTGAGCTTATGCCCCCTGAGCCAGTAAGCCTTCCACCCTTTGCTGTTGGATCTGTGTGTGGCTTGGGGACTGCTTTCAAAGTTCAGAGACTTTACAAGTATGTTCCACATTCAGTCAGGGACTGGAAGCTCACAAGTACCCTTTCTGGATGCTCCTAAGAGGGCACAGTCCTGCATATGCACGCAGTTTTCTGGAGCACCAAAGAAGAGTATGATTTTAGCAGGGTGCTCTTTGCCTATCTTTTTCCTGGCTCTCCCTGTCAAATTTCTGGCTGGTCTGCCATTTTTTTGCCTGTCCTAGTATCATGTAGCTGTTAGTCTTCTCTAATTTCTAGCCAGTATAATCTCTAATGTTTTCAACATTACTCCTGGGCATAAATTTCTCCACGCTCTGTTCCAAATAAAGTCATCCCTCTTAGGCAGAGCCTCAGACCTGCCAGCCTTCACAGTTTCCCATGCCCTATCATCTCCCCCCACCCCAAGGAGAGTTTGAGCCATAGGGACATATATGGGCTACTGTTCTTCCTGGCCTGCTTTTCCCTGCTAGAGTCAACCCTTTGTGCTACAGATCTGGAGCTGTAGGGGAGACGTGCAGAGGGGAGCCACTGGCCACGTGCCACCCCACCTAAAGTGGAACCTCCACACTGTGGAACCAGAACTGAAGGAGGGTGGAAGCTGCCGGTCTTCGTGGGCTGCCTTACGCATCCAGAATAGATCTTCCACAATACAGAGCTGGCGGGGATGGGAGCAGTCCCTGGCTCAAATGTTGCAGGCTCCCATTGTTCTTACTGAGATTCAGTAGATTTTATTGAATAAATGCTTCTCAATTTATTGTTGTTTTTAACAGTTTCCCCCAGTTTTATCACTGTTTTTCTGGGGAGAGCATTGCTGAATTCCTTATACAGCCACTGTGGAAGTCCCACCTCCTATCGCATGATGTTTTCACAGCAACAGCTGAATGCTTCCTATTCTGTGAAAACATCAGATTCATGGAATTTGGTGGGGCGGGGGGGCGGATCATCAAAGTTCATGTGGAGACTCACAGGTTAGTTCCCTCTGGCTGTATTCCCTGATGAGGCACACTGTTTGTACCCTTTACTGAGGTGGATGGTTTTTGTTATACCCTCTGGGGCCCCTACTGATTCTTTGCCTCTCTGTTACAAGTGTTTGGCAGAGTGGATAGAATTTGTGTATCTCTAGCTCAGGGAAGATTGACAACCTGATAACAAAGGACTGTTCATACCTTTTCATGGGACCCTGGTTAGGCTCTCCTGACCTTTGCATACACTTCTCACCAGGTTCAGTGAGCACACACCCAGGTCATCTGTGGCTCCATTCCCTGCATCTTACTCTCCTCCCACTTGCCTAGGTTAATTACTCTGGATACCTTTGGTCCAGAGTAGGCATCACACAATAGATATTGCTATTAATTGTTTATGCCTCTGCCTCCTCCTTGCCAGATTGCAGCCCCTTCGAGGCAGAGAATCTCGTCTTATCCAGGAGAGTACCTGATATATTATTGAAGTGGTAGTATTTACAATAGTAATAACTAAATATTATTATGATGATGATATCTAAAATTAAGTGCTAACTATGGCCCAGAAACTGTTCTAAACACTTTACTAACTCACTGAAGCCTCACAACCAGCCTATGAGGGGTGTATTATTATTATCTCCATTTTGCAGATGAGAAAACTGAGGCACAGAGCATGTATGTAATCTCTCAATATACTATATCTGCTAAGGGAATAATAATTAGTATTTATTTAATTGAAATATAGTTGATTTACAACGTTGTGTTACTTTCTGATGTACAGCAAAGTGATTCAGTTATACATTTATGTATATATTCTTTTTCATATACTTTTCCATTAGAATAATAATTTTAAAAAAAATGTCAACTGCAGAAAAGGCAGCCAAGCCATCTCAAGTCTCAGATATAACAAAGCCCAGGGATGCAAGGGAGACAATGGAGTTTGCTGGTCTTGCTCTGATGTTAGGGGAACAATGATTTTGTGTTTCTAGGGCTTTGAAGCACACATCATCTCCCCCATGTGTCAGTCTGTGGCTCAGATACTTCATCCAGAGGCTTTGGGGTGCTACCGGGGATGGGGGTTTGAGGCTCTCCCTTGCTGCCCTCCTCTCAGAATTGCCAGGGCAACCTCCTGAGGGTGGGCTGTTCAGGTCAGGAATGAGCTCCTTGCAAGGGGCACATGCACTCTCAGGCCTGAAATCTTTTGTCATTTAAACTTCCTTCTTGGTTGTGCAGCAGCAATGTATTTTTGAGACCGCACATTTTACTTTCTTTCTCTCTCTCTTTTTTTTTTTTTAAGTGAAAGCTAGAAACGTGTGACTATCCTGGAGCCATTTCTAATTTCTAACTTTTTGGAAAAAATGTGAGTAAGAAGCATCCACTTGAGGGATGCAGGGGTGGAGTTTCACACCAGTGTCAGAGCCCTCACGTTACGCCTTTTGTAATTGACTTTAGACATGACTATACATTACCTTTGCCATGGTAGCCCCACAGCTTTGCCTACACTCAAGCCATAATGTGGCAGAACCTGCAGGAAAAGCATTGCTCTTTGCTCGTGGCTGTGACCATTTTATTGACTAATTTCCAGCCTCAGAGGGCCCACAGCATCAGGCCTTTCACTCTGCCCTTCCTCCTAGAGGCCAGAGACCAAAATAAATGTGACAGCTTGAGGATTTTCCTGGTGGTTAATTGCTGCTCACTCCACCCATAGAAAGAAAAACTGGCAGGGATTTTATCCTTTGGGGTCGCAATTACTTTTTGAACAGGGGCAATTGCAACTGTGGAATGGCTGAGTCAGGGAATTTCCTTTGTCTTTAAGATAAAGATGCTATGGGCTCATGTCATTGGTGACCTGGAGCCTCCCCTTCTACCCCCAAATCTCCTAAAGCCCTCTTATCGGGGTGTGGGTACCTGCCCCATATTTCCAACTCCTTCCTCTCAAAAGCCGTTTCCCGTATACAGCTGAAGTCAGATTGTTCCATTTTAATGAGGTTGAACTATATGAAATGGCTGATATTTGATCACTTTTTACCTACAAAATGGTTCAGCCTAATTCAGTTTAGAGGTTTTCTTTTGAGCAGGAGAGAGAGAGAAACATCACAGTCAATATGAACTGAGAACCGGAGATGGTGCTACTTCTTGGAGGAGAGGCCTGGGGCCAGAGGCAAGGGGTGGACGGGGGTTCCCAGCCCCGTTCCCAGGTGTGGGCACTGCAGCTGGTGCACCCATGCCTTGACTTCACCCTGGAGAGAAGATGCTTATTGGAGTGGGGAGGACAAACGCCGAGGAACATCAACTTCACTGATGATGAGTCATGAAATCCTACAAAGTCAAAGCAGCTTGTTGCGGTTGAAAAATGCAAACGACTGTGTCTTCATCAGAGTTAGAAAACATTGCCCATATGCACGTGTAAAGGAGCACTTTCAACCTGCTGTATTTCCCTTGCTTGGGCAAATGCTGAGCTTTGATTTTTTTCTCTCTCTCTCATGTTCTTTATGGCAGTTGCTTTCCTAGATTAGAAAGGTTTGCATTTTCTCACATCTTTCTCTCATGCTGAGCATGGCTATGACATTACTCGAATCAAAGTAATAACCAAACCCCAATAGCTCCGCTAGAACATGTAGAGACTAGCCGGTTGGGGAACGAATGTAACCTTTTAATCTGCTAAGGAATGGGTTCTAAGTTGATTCATGCCAATGAATAACTAGGAAAACAAAGATCACAATTTGAAATGGTGGACCCTTGCTTTTCTTCCTTAGTATCACAATAAAGTGTGATTCGTGCTCCTGTTGGTTGCAGCATAGGACACACAGGCTCTGTTGGGATTTATTTAGCTAGAGGCCACTGACAGAATTCCCTGGATTTTGTATCTTCTTCAGTAACCTACATGCTAAAGAGGATAGACTCTTTTCTCCTTGCGTCCTCATGAAATTTGCACCAAATAGCCAGAGAAACCCGAGAAGGTTTTCAGTTCTTGGGCAGTGTTCCCATCAACTGCTGGGCCCAAGGACTTGCAGCAGTGTCGCAGATGCTGGCTATTTTTCGTGCAAACCACAAATCATCCAGTGCCACGTTAGTGATCTTGATCCTGACCCTGGCTCTGCTATAGAAAACCTCCTGTCACTTGAACCCAGACCCCCAGAGCTCTCCTGGAAATAGTTTACTAGACTGGGTAAACCAATGCTCTCTACTCATCTCCTGTAAGGATTCTTATCACCTTAGTGGTGTAGCATTTGTTGTAGCCATTTGTTGTAGTTCAGCTAATCTGTAGTTCAGCTAACTAACTAACCAGTTTCTTCTTCTGCAAACTGGTGTAATAACACGGCCTTACAAAGATGTTGCTATAAGCATCAAGATTAGATTAGTTAAGGAGGGAAGGATTGGGAGTTTGGGATTAGCAGATGCAAACTATAATATACAGGATGGATAAACAACAAGGTCCTACTGTATAGCACAGGGAGCTATATTTAATATCCTGTGATAAACCATAATGGAAAAGAATATATATATGTGTAACTGAATCACTTTGCTGTACAGCAGAAATGAACACAACATTGTAAACCAACTATACTTCAATAAATTTTTTTAAAAGGCTAAAAGATTAGATTAGTTAAAGAGCCTGAAACAGGGGCTGACACATAACAGATGCTCAAGAAATATTTATTATCCTCAACTAAAAGCAACTCACTAATTTCAAGCATTTACTTTGTGATAACATATGAAAACTGAAATCCAGTGATTTCTACTTCACTTTGCTAATGGTTTGCTAACCATCCCGGGACTTGGACCCCACATCAACCTTCCTGGGCCCCAAGCTCAAGCCTCACAGCCTCACATTACGAGCCGGGGACCTCCTGGTGACTTTCGTCAGCTCTCTTCTAGGGCAGCTGTTCTCAAAAGCATGCTGTGGGACCAGCAGGAAGAGCAGCACCTAGGAACTTGTTAGAAATGCAAATTCTTGGGTCACATCCAGAGCTACTGAGTCAGACACCCTGGGGTTGGGGCCTAGCAGGTTTTGACAAGCTCTGCAGGTGATTCTGATGCACTAAGTGTGAGAACCACTGCTGCAAATGTGAGCCATGGGGAGAGGTAAGGGCAGGGAGGAAGGCTTGGCTTCTTTTCTCTGGGGGTCCCTTCTCCTTCCTTATCTCGAGATTTTAAAAAAAGCAGCAAGAAAATCCCCTTGCTATTGCCAGAAGAAGATGTCAGGAAACACCTTTCATTCAGCCCCTCAGTTCCCAAATGTTTTCCCTCTCCTCCAGGGACCTCGAGTTACAGCTCTAGCAGGTCTCCTTGGCTCCTGTGTTCTGGGTGCCAGCAGTCTGCCTCTGCATGTTGGGCTTTAGGTGAGAATAAATTTTTCTCTCATCTCCTTTCCCTTGTTATCGGAGTCAGACATATTGAGGCATACCCCTTAAAGGCTTAACTTCCCTGCCCTCCCAATATGCCTAGCTCTGTCCTTTTCCTCATTGATGCTTGCAGTCCTAACCCCAAGGAGGTAAGGAAAATGGGGTGGACTGGAAAAAGGGGAGGAAGATGCCTAGCAAAATGGGACCACCCTGGGTTTTGCTGTTAGGTGGTGAGTAATAATTCTCAGTCCAACTTCTTGTCCTGGATTTTCTTTTTTCTTTTTTTTTAAATTGAGGTATAGTTAATTTACAATGTTGTGTTAGTTTCAAGTATACAGCAAACTGATATAGTTATACATACACATACACATATCTATTCTTTTTCCGATTCTTTTCTGTTATAGGTTATCACAAGATATTGAGTAGAGTTCCCTGTGCTATATGGTAGGTTCTTGCTGTTTATCTATTTTATATATAGTAGTGTGTATATGTTAATCCCAAACTCCTAATGGATTTCCTTTCAGGTTGTATCTGAAGTACCTTCGAAGCCATCCTTCTACTCCCTCCCCACCCACCCTCCGGGAGCCACTCCTTCCTAGTCTATTTACTAGTCCCTCTGTTGCTGAGAAGATTAAATCAGCAAATAGAAGCTCATCTGAAAGCATTAGGCAGCCCCTAGGAAGGGAGTGAAAAAGGCTGGTTATAATTTTTCCTGAGTGCAGTTTTTGTTCTGATGGAAACAAAACAGAACAAAAACAACCAAAAAACCCCACAAAACAAATATTGAACAAAAAATGAAAAAGGTTTGCCTTTTCTGTAACACACATCTGTGTCACCTCTCAGAAGTCATAGCAACCATCTACTTTCCTGAGACATGATCCCATTAAAATATTAGCTCAGTGAATGGTGATGAGAAATGAAAATTGGATGTGTTCTTATGGTTACCAAAGGGGAAATGGGGGGGAGGATAAATTAGGAGTTTGTGATTACCAGATACACACTACTATATATATATAATAAACAACAAGGGCCTACTGGATAACACAGGGAACTATGCTCAGTATTTTGTAATAACCTACAAGGGAAAAGAATCTGAGAAAGAAGCACTTTGCTGTATACCTGAAACTAACACAACATTGTAAATCAATTATACTTCAGTACAAATTAAAAAAAAAGAAAATTGGATGTGTAAAACATCATATAGAATATATATGTTTTAGTATTTATTTTATTATGAGAATTTCAAACATAAAAATAAGCAGACAGAATAATATAATGAAACCCCCCTACCTATCACCCAGCTTCAACAACTGTCAGTTCATGGCCAGTCTTGCTTCATTTGACCCCATCCACTTCTCTCCTTCCCATATATGTTTTAAAACAAATCTCAAATGTCATATTATGTTATCTATCACTATTTTAGCATGTACCTCTAAAAGGTAAGGACTTTAAAAAAATATAGTCACCATTATCAGACTTTAAAAAGGTAACAAAAATTTCTTAATGTCATCAAGTATCCATTAAGTGTTCAAATTTCTAATTTTCTCATAAATAGCATAAATTGTTTTAATCATGATCCAAATAAGGTCCACACATTGTAATTGGTTATTTGGCTTTTAGGTCCATTTAAATCTACAAGTCTCTCTCTTCTTGTAATTGATTTGTCATTTAACATGACATGTTCTCCTGTCTTCTGAATTTCCTGTAAAATGGTATTTGAACCAGACTTGATCATATTCAGGTTTGATTTTTTTTTTGCAAGAATGCTTCATATATGGTATGGCATATAGCACATTTCACAAACAAATATTAAGGATTATAGGCTTATCAGCTATTTTGAATTACACGAATCACCATTTTATCTCTATCCTAGCATATTCTTGAGAATCTGTAGTATCTCCTAGTATATTTTAAGTCAATTTCAATGCTTCAGAAATTTGTGAATTTTTTTTTCTGTAGAAGAATTCTGTGTCTCTGGCTATGTGGAGTGGGAGGGCATTAAGCTCTAAATCAGACCAAAGGCCCTTTCAGTAAACAGTTAAGGGCTTTGCTCTTTGATTTTTTTTTTTTGTAAATGGCTCTAGAAAAGTTTTCCAGAGGTAAAATCTAGCATAAGTCAAACAAACAAACAGTCATGTAATTTTCATCAGGGTTCTAATTCAGAATGTCTAAAGGTTTTCCAATCAGCAATAAGATATTCATCTATAACAATAATTTTATTTTCTTAATGTTTTCTACAACCTCAATTTCCATATCTAAAACTGGATGATCATTGAGAATGCCACCCAAATCTATTAACTAATTGTAGAAGGGTGCCTCCTAAAGGCTTTATCTTCCTAAAAGTTTAACCTGAAAAAAAAAAGCTGGTCCAAATTATGCTTGCAAATGAATGTGTGTCCATGTTGTCAGGTCACAAAAAAAGGAAATATGATACTAAAAGAGCAAACAACTATCTGTAAAGCTGATTTAAATTTCTATTAGCTTCAAATGTGTGCTTGGAAAAACCATTTTCCCAGCTGTATTAGTTCTCAGTGGCTGCTGTAACAAGTTACTATAAACTTAGTGGCTTACAACAATACATTTTATTATCTTACAGTTCTGGAAGTCAGACATCTAATATGGGTCTCATTGGGGTAAAATCAAGATGTCTGTAGGGCTGTATTCCTTCTGGAGGCTCTAGGAGAGACTCCATTTCCTTGCCTTTTCCAGCTTCCAGGGGCCACCCACATTCCTTGCCTCCTGGTCCCTTTTCTCCATCTTCAAAGCCAGCAACATTAGGTTGTCCTTCTCTATTTCCATCACGCTAACCTCCTCTTCTGCATCCCTTTTTCACTTTTAAGGACCCTTGTGATTACATTGGGCACATCCAGATAATCCAGGATAATCTCCCTATTTTAAGGTTGGCTGATTAGCAACCTTAATCCCGTCTACAACCTTAAGCCCCCTTTGCCTTCTAACATAAAATACTCACAGGTTCCGGGGATTAGGCTGTGGACATCTTTGGGGGGCCATTGTACTGCCTACCATACTAGCCAAACAGTGTGTGAGATCAAACCAAATAGCTGGGCTAAATATTTGAAGTTATTTGTTTTTGTGAACTGTCTCATATTCCTTTGAGTAAGGCAAGATATAAATAAATAACCAAACCAAATGCTGTTTCAATATTGAAGATAAACATAAATAATTACCCTAGTTTGTACCAAATAATGAACATGTGTCTATATCTTGCATCCTTGTTTCTGTTTATTGCCTTTTATTTTCCAAAAGAAACCTTAAAGTTAAGTAAACCTCTCTGGATTTCCAATTTAAAACATATTCTTTAGCAGATGTTTTCATTATCTTTAGTTTTCAGAAATTCTATTTTAATATGTCTGGGTATAGATATGGGTTTATATATTTGGGTTTTTCTCAGCTTCTTGAATCTGTAGGTTTGTTTTTCACCAAATCTGGGAAACTTTCAGCCATTATTTCCTTGATTTTTTTTCAGCCCCATATCCTTTCTTTTCTTCTTCTGAGACTCAGATGACATGAATGTTAGATCTCTTGTTATTTTCACATAGGTGTCTGAGGCTCTGTTCTCTCTCTCTTTTTCCAATGTATTTTCTCTCTGTTATTCAGTTTGGGTAATTTTTTTGATCTATCTTAACTTTCACCGATTATTTTCCCTGTCATCTCCATTTTGCTATTGAGCCCTTCTGATGAGTTTTTAATTTTGGTCAATGTATTTTTCAGTTCTGAAATTTCCATTAGTTTCTTCTTTATATTTTCTATTTCTTTGCTGAGACTACTTTTTTTATTTGTTTCAAAAATGTTCATAATTGCAAATTAACCATTTTTATGATAGCTATTTTTGTAGGTTAGGGTTTTCTACATATACAATCATGTCATCTGGGAATAAAGACAATTTTATTTCTTCCTTTCTAATCTGTATGCTTTCTATTGTTTTTCCTTGCCTCACTGCACTAACTAGTAATTACAGTACAATTTTCAATAAGAGTTGTGAGAAAAGATATCCTTGCCTTGTTACTGATTTCAGGGAGAAAACATTCAGTCTCTCACCATTAACGGTAATGTTAGCTACAGGTTTTTTCTAGAGACCCTTTATTTCATTAAGGATGTTCCCTTCTGTTCCTGGTTTGTTGAGAGGTTTTATCATCAATGGATATTGAATTTTACTGAAAGCTTTTTCTGCATTTATTGATATGATCATACGGGTTTCCTTAGTCTTTTCAAATGTTTAAAATTTTTTAAATATTGATTTTTGAATATTGAACCAGCTTTGTATTCCTGGTATGAATCCCACTTGGTCTTGATATTCTTTTTATATACATGACTGGACTCAATTTGCTAATTTTTAAAGGATTTTTGCATCTGTGTTTGTGAGAGATATTGGTCTGTATAGTTTGGTTTTGATTAGGATAATGCTAACCTCATAGAATGAGTTGGGAAATGTTCCCTCCTCTTCCATTTTCTATGAGAGATTATGTAGTATTGATATTGTTTTTTCCTAAATGTTTGGTAGAATTCACCAATGAAATCATCTGGGCCAGGAGTTTTGGGGGGGAAGGTTTTAAACTATCAATTCAGTTTCTGCAATACATGGCTATTCAGTTATCTCTTTGACCTTGGATGATATTTGGTAGTTTGTGTCTTTCATCTAAGTTATTCAGTTTATGGTCATAGGAATGTTCATAGTATTCTCTTATTAACCTTTTAGTATGATTGGCTGTGATCTTCCTCTTTTATTCCTGATATTGATAATTTGTGTCTTTTTTTAAAATTTTCTTGGTTATGCTGGCTAAAGATTTATCAATTTTATTGATCTTTTCAAAGACCTAGGTTTTGCTTTTATTGAGTCCTCTCTCTTTTCAATTTCTTTGACTTCCCTAATTTTTATTACTTTCTTCCTTCTGCTTGCTTTAGGTTTAATTTGCTCTTCTCTAGCTTCCCAAAGTCTAAGCTTAAGTTGATTTTAGATATTTCTTCTTTTCTAACATTTTCATTTAATGCTATGCTGTAAATTTCCCTCTAAGTACTATTTTATCAGCATCCCGTGCATTTTTTATTGTGGTACAATATACATAGCATAAAAGTTACAATTTTAATGATTTTTAAGTGAGAAATTTAGTGGCATTAAGTACATTCACAATGTTGTGCAACCACCACTATCCTTTTCCAGGACTTTTTCATCATCTCCTCCCAGCCCCGCTAACTTCTGTTCTACTTTCTATCTCTATGAATTTGCCTTTTTCAGGTACCTCAGATAAGTGGGATTATTAAATATTTGTCCCTTTGTGTCTGACTTTTTTCACTTAGCAGAGTGTTTTCAGGGTTCATCCATGTTGTAGCACTACAAATTTTTATACATTCTATTTTCATTTTCATTTTTGTTTAAAATGCCTTAAAATTTCCCTTGAGATGATTTCTTTTGACTCTCTAGAGATGGGTTACTGAGAAGTATATTATTTAATTTATAAATATTTGGTGATTTTCTGGATATCTTTCTATTATTGATTTTTAGTTTAATTTTGTTATGGTCTGAGAATGTACTTTGTATGATTTCTATTTTTTAAATTTGTTCAGCTTTGTTATACGTCCCAGAATGTGGTCTATCTTGGTGGATGTTCCATGTGCACTTGGAGAGAATGTGTATTCTGCTTTTATTGGATGGAGTCTTCTATAAACGGCAATTTGGTCAAGTTGCTTGATAGTGCTGTCCAGGTCATCTATATCCTTACTGAGTTTCTGTCTACTTGTTCTATCAATTACTGAAAGAGGTGTTGAAGTCTTCAACTATAATTGTGGATTTGTCTGTTGCTCCTTTCAGATCTATCAGTTTTTGACAGTCTTGTTTGATTGTTTAGGAAATCTTCCTCATTTTTTTGGAAAATTTGATTCTTTTTTGTGGTGTAAATTTATTTATTTATTTATTTTTGGCTGCATTGGGTCTTCGTTGCTGCGCGCGGGCTTTCTCTAGTTGTGGTGAGTTGCTCCGCGGCATGTGGGATCTTCCCGGAGCAGGGCTCGAACCTGTGTCCCCTGCATTGGCAGGTGCATTCTTAACCACTGCGCCACCAGGGAAGTCCGATTCTTTTTTGAATGAGGTAGAGGGTGACAAAACTCATGGGAAAAAAAAAATCTTTTCTTGAACTGAAACTGGAAACACAGTGTCTTGAACTTGTAGTTACTTGGTCATTTTGGTAAACCATTTTGTTGTTTTCACCAGGACTCTCTAGTATTAAAAGAAACTGCCTATCTTATGGAGTTTTCATATGCACAGTTGGCTGTCAAGGTCTTCATCATGTGGCCAATGATAAATTTAGGATTAGTAGAGCCACTTCAGTGGTACAGATTTGCCAAACTAAGACTCTTAAATATTTCAAGGTTCCAGCAACTGGTTTATGTCCCAGAAAGGAGATACAGAGATGGTGGCTTCCCTGGAGACAGGGACATTGGAGAGGTGAGAGTTTTTCTGTGGTTGCTTTGTATGTATCTAAGTATATATGTATTTGTCTTCTGCTGACTGCAGTCAGCAGCTGCCGACTACAATGCACTCACCATCTCTCCTTCAGCTTGTCACATAGACTGTATGCCTCTTACAAATATGGCATAGCTATGTGGTTTGTCCTTGGTCTCAACTTTCCTGTAGTTCTGAGACCCAGAACAGGATCCAGAGTATAAGCTACAGTTCCCTCCAGTTGTTTTGTTCCAACAAGGGTTCACACTGTGTCTTCAGGGCAGTGTCACTGGAGTTTGGAAAAGAAAACTCTAGTCCCTTTGAAGGAAACCTATCTGCTGTTCCATGCATTAAATATGGCTGTAAATTCTTTTCTACTTCCCCCATTAAGAAGTAGAGTTGATTTTCCCTCCTCTTCAGTCTGTGACTTGCTTTGTCCAGTATAATACAGTATAAGTGACACTGTGCAACTTCCAAGGCTGGGTCTTAAGATACCTGAAACTTCTGTTTTTGTGTACTTGGAAGGCTCCCTCTTAGAACTCATCTGCCATGTTATGAGAAGGCCAAGTTACATGGAGAGGCCATGTATAAGATATTTTAACTGACAGCCCCAGCTGAGTTCTCTCAGCCTATAGCCAGCACCAACTGCCATCATGTGAGTGAGCCATTTTGGATGTTTCAATGTAATCAAGTCTCCATATGTCTGCAGCCCCAGCAGACATTATGTGGATATGCAACAAAGGATTAATCTTCCCCAAAGAAAGGTTTGGTCCTGCTCAGCTTCTGAGAGGTATCTCTAAGACCTTGGAATGTCCTGTCTGGCAAGAGTGTCTTTGTTTACCTGGGGGCCATGGGCCATACCAGATAGTTTTTGCTAATAATGTGATTTATTGTAAGGGACTTGGGCCATGTGGTATCAGCTTGATCTTTGAAGGGGCTGGAGACTAAGGTCAGCCATGTAGGGGGTCAACCAAGCCTATGTGACCGAGCTCCAATAAAATCTCTGGACACCAAGTCTCAGGTTAGCTTCCCTGGTTGGTAATATTGCGTGCATGTTGCTACACATCACTGCTGGGAGAAGTAAGTTCTGTCCATCCAACTCCACTGGGCAAGGACAACTAGAAGCTCCATGCCTGGTCTCTCCTGGACCCTGCCCTATGTGCCCTTCCCTTTGCTGATTTTAATCTGTATCCTTTCACTGTAATAAATTATAACTCTGAGTATAATGGCTTTTCTGAGTTCTGTGAGTCCTTCTAGTGAACCTGAGGGTAGTCTTGGGGACGCCCAAATGCTGGCGGAAGAGAGGAACTGCCCAGCTAAGCCTAGCCAACCTATAGAATCATGAGCAATAGGAGATGGTTGTTGTTCTCTTAAACCATTATGTTTTGGGTTGGTGTGTTATGCAGCAATAGATAACTAAGACACCTGTCTTCTCTACTGGATGATAATATTTTTGAGAGCCAAGATAATTCTGTAATTTCCACTCCTTTAGCATAGCACCTTATGTGTTGCAAGTATAAACATTTGTTAAATCGTTAAATTGGAGTAGTTAGAAACATCTTTGTGGACTAACTGAGAGAGACTGAGATAGGGGACTTGCAGAGTGATTGCATTATTTCCATCTGTATATAAAAGAAAGGAATCTCCACTCCTTTTGTATGAAATCTAAAGATACTTGCAGTTTTTCAGAATTGCTGTGCTAGTAATGATTTGTTCTTTCTTCTTTCAGAATAGTTGTACCGTGGTGTAAAGAATACTGCTTGGAATATAACGGTTCAGTTCCCAGTTCTGCCTTTTCTCACTACTTTTATAAACTTGGGCAAGTCTCTTGACCTTACCAAATCTCATCTTGAAGCAGAGATAATAATGGCAGTTCCACAGGGTTGTCGTGAAGTTTTAATGCATGCAAAAAGTGTTTTGAGAAATGTAAAGTGCTATGTAGGTATAAAGTATCATTGGAGACTTTGGATTGATGGTACTTGCTTAATTTTAATTTTTTTAGCCCTTCTAGCCCATCATTTATCATAAATATTTTTATTTTTAAAATTTATTTATTTATTTTTGGCTGCATTGGGTCTTTGTTGCTGCGCGCAGGCTTTCTCTAGTTGCGGCGAGAGGGGGCTACTCTTCATTGCGGTGCGCGAGCTTCTCATTGTGGTGGCTTCTCTTTGTTGCGGACCACAGGCTGTAGGCCGCACGGGCTTCAGTAGTCGTGGCACGTGGGCTCAGTAGTTGTGGCGTATGGGCTTAGTTGCTCTGCGGCATGTGGAATCTTCCCAGACCAGGGCTCGAACCCATGTCCCCTGCATTGGCAGGCGGATTCTTAACCACTGCACCACCAGGGAAGTCCCATAAATACTTTAAAATATGACTGGCATCTCAATAGCATAGGGAATATGAAAATTTGTAAAATAGTAATAAAACAACTTCTAAATAGTAGTTTTCCCTCTTTTTTCTTACATCACATCCTCACCACCACAAACTACTCCACTGAATTTTTTTTCAGAAAAGAAATGGAGAAAAATAATGAGAAAATGTGGCATTGAAACAGGATTTCTTCTTTTTCCCAAACATGTCACATCTTCCTACCTCATCCTTTCACCTCTCTTATCGACATGCCTTTTAATTCAATGAAGAACGACTGCAAGGTATTGACAAGATACTATTTGTTATGCCCCAATAGCCACAGTGAACTCTGGGCCCTTCTTACTGAGTTAGTTTTGATAGTGTCAGGTGGTGATGCCCCCAGAGCTTTAGAACTGGTCCATAGGCCTATGAGAGCCACATTTGGGTTCTTCAGGTTTATACCTGCAGCTCAGAGAATAGAACCCAAAAGGGCTTCCAAAACCTTGCTGTGAACTTTCTTAACGATGCTGTAATTCCCCAGGGTCTTCCCCAGTTATGTTGCTTTGATGCCATTTATAAAACATTGGTTGTCTTCCTGGATCTCATAAGGTGCTAGCTGCCCCCTACATTTACATGCATCCTATCAACTGCAATGATTTTGAATATCTGCCAGTTTCTAACATGAATAAAAGATTAGAGCTGGAAGGAACTTTAGAGATTGGAGCCCTGACCCAGAAATTGTTTGTCATGACTTGACAGGAGTCAAGGGCTAGGAGTAATGGCTTATCGGAGTATGTGAGCAGGTTCTAAGAGTCCAGAAAGAAAGGGTTTAAACCAGAGCCTGAAGACATAGTGGTAAGTTCCAGGGATGGGGTGGGGGAGCATGGGAATGAGAATCACTCAAAGCAAGTTAATATGCTGGATGAGAAATCAGAATTGAAAGGTATTTTGACAGCTTGGAAAAATTAGCTGAAACAAAAACCAGGCAATTTCCAGAAGTAAATAAAAAATATTTCACACAGATTCCAAAATCAAGCATATAGGCATATAAGGGAAACCAGGTTTAATGGAAATTCAGTAAAACACTTAGGTTTCAGCTGCCAAGAAGGTCAGAATGAGTCAATCGTGTAACATCATTTTTTTACAATATGAATACAGTCTTAGGATGTGTGAGTTAAGCCCAGAATAAAGGAGATAATGGTCCCATTCTCCTCTGCTTGAGTTATGTGTAAACTGTATTCTGTTCTCAGTGCCATATTTTAAATTGTATGGATAAACGATACTGTATTTAGAGAAGGAATGCAATATGGTGAAAGGTTTAGAAACCACTTCACCTGAGGAATGGTAAGTTAAACTGGGCTAGTTGCCAGGTAGCAGAAGATAGTTGGGGAAACATATCAGGTGTTTTAAATAATTTGAGGGATTGTTATATGAAAGAAGAATTAGGCATATTCTTATGGGTCTTGAGGATAGAATTTTGATAATTGGATGGAAGCCATAATGGGCAAATTGGAGCTCAGTGACGGTGAGAACTCTACAGTGAAAGTTGCCCATACATGAGAGATTTAGTATGAAGGGGATACACTACTCACTGGGGACGTGCTCAAAAAGAGGCTGAATGGCCCCCTACCCGGAACTCTGAAAAGTGGATTCCTATACTGGGTGGAGGGGAGAGGTTGAACCAAATGATCTTCAAGATCCCTATCTCTTTCAAGTTTCAGAGATATCCAATGGCGGCCTAGCACTCTAACTTGCCACATAATTATGCAGTGGACTGGCCAGCAAAATGGCCAGTAGGTCTAGTGTCAGAGTAGAATGCCCATACGACTCAGGCATAAGGTCCTGAACTTAACTATAAATTTCTTGAAGGCAGAGATAGCGTCTCATGTGTTTGTGTAGCAGTGTCTTGCATGTAATAAGAGATGCTTTTCAAATGTTTGTAGAATGAATGAATGGACAAATGAATGTTGGGCCTATATTAGTCCCCTAGGCCTACCATAACAAATTACCACACACGGTGGCTTAAAACAACAGAAATTTGTTCTTTCACAATTCTGGAGGCCAGAAATCTGAAATTAATGTATCAGCAGGGCTGCACTCTCTCAGAAGGCTCTAGGCAAGAATCTGTTCCTTACCTCTTCCAGCTTCTGGTGCCTCCATGGTCACATTGCCTCCTCCTCTTCCGTCTGCCTCTTCTAAGGATACTTGTCATTAGATTGAATGTCTACTTGGATAATCTAGGATGATCTCCTCATCTCAAGATCCTTAACTCACTTACATCTGCAAAGATCCTTTTTTTCAGTAAGGTCACATTCACACATTCTGGGGATTAGGACATGGACATATTTGGGGGGCCACCATTCAAGCCACTACACTTATTTTTAATGGTCATTAAACTATCACCATTATTCAAACAATAATGCTTGGCCTCTGATGATACTTTCTATGCGCAAAGCAGAATAGTATTGAGAGATTCTCAACAGAGACAGTGTAGTGCTTAATAAGGTAACTCTTGGATTCAGACAGACCTGAATCTGTTACCAATGTTGCTACTTAGTAGCAGTGTATCTTTGGCCAAGGTGTTGAACTTTTCTATATTTCATGTTCCCTATCCTAAAATGAGAATTGTAGTACCTATCTCATAGGTAAATATAAATGTTCCATGAAATAATGTTTGAAAATTACTTAACATAGGACCAGGCACATAGCTGACTCTCTGCAAGTGGTCAGTATTATTGATTAGTATGAGCTCATTCCTTTTCCCTGGTTTCAGACTGCCTGAGGTGTCAGGCTTTTGTTATTCCTTAGAAATTTAATTGAAATCAACCTATGCTTATGGAGGATTGACTCTGCACAATACACTATCATATGTAATAGGTATAAATGATAAACAAGACAGACACTGTCCTGCCCTCACAGACCTTAGAATGTGATGGCATCAGTGGTTAATAAAATATGGAATTATAATACAGCATTGCCATTATGACGACTGGGGAAACATAGAAACTGGAGAAGTCGATAGAAGGGGCACCTAACCCAGGATCTCTGTATATGGGAGGATACTTATATTTGTAGAAGAATGCCCAGCTGGGGCTGATCTGGATTCAGACCTTGGCCATGTCTAAGGAACTGGTGTATCAGTAGTTCCTCAAGTATTTACTGGTATGTGTTGATTTTGCCTGGGGAGATATGTGCTCTTTGGGTCTGGAGAGAAAGATGGGGACATGAGGCAGTCGTCTTAGTTTAGGTTCCCCTAGAAGTAGACTTGAAGACAAGGATTTGAGTGCAAGTAGTTTTGAGGGGAGATAATCCTAAGAAATACTAATAAGGGGGTAGGGAAGTGAGACAGGTAAGAAAAGAGTCACTGAATGAATGATGCCTTATCAAGCCAGTTACCACTGTGGTTAACTGGAGTTTCCTTGTATTGGGGAACTCTAGAAGCTGATGTAGAACATAGGCCTTGGAGTTATCCACACCTATTCCTGTCAGTCATTGGCTGAGGACTGCACCCAAGAAGACTGCCTGCAAGCAGGGCAGGCAGGCTACTGAAGAAGGCCTCAGGCAAAGTGATGCAGCTGTTGGCCATCGGTAAGGCCTGAGGAGATATGGGCATGACACAGAGGGCATGTGACACAGGAGGAAAACATGGTATGTGTCCCAGCTTGTGGCCAGCGAGGAAGTATGTGGCCCATGAGCAGAGGGGCTTCTGGCAGAAACTAAAGAAGGTTTTCTCATGAGGCTTCCTGTAATACTCGGGAAAAAAATAGTGCTTCTTAGGGACCAGGTGACAAAATGCAGCACAGAGCTGGGAGGAGGGGCTTTTCCGCCATGAATGCCTAGAACGCAGTGTGGCGCATCAGAGTAAGGACTCAAAACAAACCAGTTCTGTTCAAATACCTCATGATCCACAGCTTTGAGGAGAAGCAAAAGCTGCTTCCATGGCATGGAAAATGATGCTCTTCTGGAGAGGAAATGGTGAAGGGAGGACTGTTTTTGGCTTCACAGGTCTTGGGGACTCCAAAACCAAGGCCAAGGTGGGTGAAGATTTTGAGAACACATATAAAATTTTTCTAAGAATTCTCAGAAGTAAGTGGGGAGACTTTGGGGAGAAAGGTGTCCTGGTGCAGGTGACGGGACTGAACCAGTGGGATTTGAGTTTCTACTGTCTACACAAAGAATTGGGCAGCCTGTGGAAATTTAAGTTACACGTGACTCCCTTCCTATACCTCCTCCAAAAGAGGCTGCTAATACTTATGGACCACCTATTAGGGTGCCAAGCATTCTACAGATCTTATCTCATTTATTCGTTGCGATAAACCCAATGCATGGGTGAGAAAATTGAGGTTCATTGAGGGTAAATAGTTTGCCTACTAAACACAGCTAGTAAATGGCAGACCTGGTATTTGAGCCCTAACTTGTTTGACTTGGGAACCCATGCTTTTTTTACACTATCTCCTTATGCTACCTGGTAACATAAACACATCTGCATGTGTGGTTTTGCACATATATACAGTTTGAACCCAGAAATGGATTTCAAATTAATAATCTTAAGAAGCTGAAACCATAACCATATTTTGAGTTATATGAGATGCTTAAGTTATGCAAGACAGTTTTTTTTTTTAGGAACAACCCCAGCAACATTTAAAACAGAAGAATAAAGAACTGAGGATGAAGGGAGTAAATGTCATTATTATTCACTGACATGAAAAAAAATGAGAAATGAAAGAATGGCACACCTCTGCCTTTTCTCCTAAGGTGAATAATAGCTATTTGCTTTACAATGACTTTTTTTTCTATAGGTGGATGAAATCTGGGTCCATATATTGAAGGATCGCTTTTCTGCCTGGGATATAGTGAATTTTTTCAGGGCTAAAAATTCCCTTTCTAAAATGGTTACCCAAACCATTTTTAAAACAGAGACCACGTGCTCATATTGGGATTTCATTCTTGTGCTAAAAGCTCTGGCACTGTGTCTCTGACTGCTATTATACCTATGAGAAGAGTTGACTTTATTTTGGGGGTTGAGCCCATTTGTTAATCCATGATGCCCTTGAGAAGAAGGGGAAGGAAAAGAGAAATGGGGTTTGGAGTGTGGGAGTGAAGAAACTTATGCTCTCAAGTATCTGGAGTGAGCAAAATCTAAGTGAGGCCAAGTAAGACATTTAAAGAAAGTGTTGGGATCCTATATTCTCCTTGGTTTTGGCAAGAAAGATGTCAAAGATGTAAATAAGTGGCTGAATAAATACATGGAGAAAATATAAACCTGAGCCTTCTTTCATAATGTGAGTGTATCCTCAAGGAATGGAAACTAATTTTATTATTACTTTGATCCATAGTTAATAAAATTACAGATAACATTAACTAAGCATTCATTATATAGGAGGCGGTATGCTTTTTTTCCCCCACCAATTTGTGATTTTTTGTTTGTTTGTTTTGTTTTGTTTTGTTTTTGGCCACGCTACGCAGCTTGTGGGATCTTAGTTCCCTGACCAGGAATCGAACCTGGGCCCTCGGCAGTGAGAGCGTGGAGTCCTAACCACTGGACCGCCAGGGGATTCCCAGGCAGTATGCTCTGTTATGTATCTCAGTTATCTCAAGGGCACCCCAAAGCAGGCTTTATTTTTAAGTGAGGAAACTGGGACTTAGAAAATTTACATGACCCAAGGTCTTACAACTTCTAAATGGTAGAGTTGAAATTTGAACTCAAGTAGTCAGACTTTAGGACTTGTTTTCCAAGATGAGTATGTTATACTGCTTCCCTGTATGCTAAAATAAGACCATGGTCCTGGTCATAAAAATTTTTTCTTGAAGTGTAGGGTTGCATATTTTTGGACTATCTTCTAGCATTGCTCACCCCTGTGAGTAAATTTCTGAAATATTTATTCAATTTATGTGTCTGTCTTGTCCATCTCTGTATTTCCAGCACCAGGACAGTTAATTACGATACAGAATAGTTACTGAGAAATTTTTGTTGACTGAATAAACTCTTCATTCCTCTATTTCTCTCTGTTAATGGGGGTGGGGGGAACCCAAGAGTTGCTGAGGAATGTAATACAGTTTTTTTTTTTTTTTTTTTTTTTTGCAGTACGCAGGCCTCCCACTGTTGTGGCCTCTCCCGTTGCGGAGCACAGGCTCCGGACGCTCAGGCTCAGCGGCCATGGCCCACGGGCCCAGCCACTCCGCGGCACGTGGGATCCTCCCGGACCGGGGCACGAACCCGCGTCCCCTGCATCGGCAGGCGGACCCCCAACCACTGCGCCACCAGGGAAGCCCTGTAATACATTTTTAATTGGTTGGTTTCTAAAACAATGGTGTCCTGTCCTGATAGCTCTTTACACTTGTAATATCTAATTATTCCGAAGGCAACATTTGTTAGCTGCCTTATTTTAGGCAGAATGTCAACTCTTAGATGTGAATTATATTTTCATATTCATAGGGTTCAGAAATGTACCTTTTGAAGCATTCATGGGGGTGGTACTTTAAATGTACTTTAAAAAAGCTGCACTCAAAGGAACTAATTTGGGTTTTGCTTTTGGCTGACAAGCTTTTCCTAGGTGTGGCTGAGACTCTAACAAATCTACCCTTCCAGTAATGTATGCATATCATAGGGTGCTATACGAGGAGATGCCTTTGTGTGCTCCTTCCCTTCCCTTGGAACCTTAGGAAAGGAGCCTATGTTCGATCTTTCCATACTCTGCAGTTGTGTGACCTATAAAATGTTTTGCTGACATGCATTCACAGTATCCAAGATGAGGTTTATGGTGCCAAGTACAGTGCATGGTACATGGTAGGCCCTCAGTAAACGCTGGTTGGGTGATTAACTGAATGAATGAATGCATGAAGATATGGTTTGAATCAACTTGATATAATTTGAAGAGACAGAAATGCTCTCCCTTTGCCTGAAGATGACTAAAACCCTCATATGCCTCCATTTGGGGGCTAAAGCTTTGGAAGGCAGTTAGAGTGCAAATATACTGAATGAGTTCCTAACCCACTACCTTGAATGAGTATTCTGGATTTAGAACTTTCCAAGCTCTAGATGAAAAGGAGGATTCAAAAAGATGGGATGCGGGACAGGTCCATTTTGATGAGGAATAGGGGATGTGGGGAGGTTCAGAGAAGCTATGTGCAGGATAGGAAATCAACAGAAGGGAGGATACCATAATAAGACTGCAGATAGAGAGGATAAGGGGATTTCAGAGGCACCAAAAGTCATTCTCGCTTCCCATTCACCATGTGGGTCCACTCAGATTGTCACGTGTGGCAAGCAGAATGAGACTGCAGCCCAAAGGGACAGGCTGCTATCCATGACTTTGGAGCAAGTAGTTTTAACTTGGTGAGAGTGTCATGTGTATGTCTGTGGTACATGTGGGACTGAACGCTTGGCAACTCCAGTTCTCTCAGCCCTCCCAGAGTGAGCTGAACCTTTGCTGTTAGCCAGCCTCCAAGAGGGACTGTGATGATCCTCTCCTCTTGATATTTATGTTCTTGTGGAGACTCTTCCTACACTGAATAGGACATTGAAAAAATGATGGTGTGTGACCTTGGAGGTTAGGTCATAAAAGACAACACAACTGCAACTTTGATCTCTTGGACAGCTTGCTCTGGAGGAAGTGGGCAACCGTGTCACGAGGACACACATGCAACCCTGTGGAGATGACTGTGTACAGAGGAACTAAGGCCTCCCACCAACAGCCAGCACCAGCTTACCAAGCATGTGAGTGAGCCCCCTTGGAAGTGAATGCTCCAGCCTGAGTTGAGCTTTGAGATGACTGCAGTCCTGGCTGACATCTTGAGTGCAACCTCATGAGAAACCCTGAGCTACAACCACCCAGCCAAGCCAGCCCCAGATTCTTGACCTACAGAAACTGCAAGATAATAAATATTTATTGTTGTTTTACATCACTAAGTCTAGAGTAATTTTTTTTACACAGAATTAGAGACTAATACACTTTCTTTGTCTTAAAGTCTGTGATCATAATTGCTATTGTACTTACTATTCTGTCAAATGGGTATCAGGTCTTCCAGATCTCTTTAAAGGTGGTGGTTTGTTCTTTTTTTCTAGCTTCATATTAATAGATAAGAATATAGGGATGTACAGCAAGGACTCTAGAGTCAGGCAGACATTAATTTAAGTACTGGTTTGGCCACCTGTGTGACTTTCATGACGTTACTAAATCAAACTCAAATTTATTATGAGCATTAAAGGAGCAAATGCATTTCAAGTGCTTAGGGTAGTTTATGGCTTATGGTAAGAGCTCAATAACTGTGATAGTTATTATGGTTAGTAACTGTATAAAGAGATGCTTCTAAGGGCCTTGCTTTACAAAGTAACTGAAGTATGTTTTGTACCTTAAGTGGGGAATTTGGTTTCCATTAGAATTATTAAATCAATTTATTGAGGTATAATTTGTATACTGTAAATGCACCCATTTTAAGTGTACGATTAATGATTTTTTTAATTTACTGAGTTGTGCAACTATGACCATCATCCAGTTTTAGGATATTTTTTCATCATCCCAAAAAGAAATCTTGTGCCCAGTTGCAGTCAGCCCCAGGCAACCACTAATCTACTTTCTGTCTCTATATATTTGCCTTTTCTGGATATTTCACTTAAATAGAGATGTACAATTTGTGGCCCCTGATGTCTGGCTTATTTCTCATAGCATGTTTCTGAGGTTCTTCTATGTTGTAGCAATTATCAGAACTTCATTTCTTTTTATTGTCAAATAAAATTCCATTGTTTGGATATACCACCTTTTGTTTATCCATTCATCCATTGATGGACACTTGCGTGGATTCCACTTTTTGGCTTTTATGGATAATGCTCTCTGAATATTGGTGTAGAAATTTTTTGTGTGGGCATATGTTTTCATTTAGCTTGGGTAGATACCAAGGAGTGGAATTGCTCGGTAATATAGTAAAGGTATGTTTAACTTTTTAAGAAATTCCAGTTTTTCAAAGTGGCTGCACCATTTACATCTCCCCCAGCGATGTATGAGAGCTCTTATTTATCCATATCCTTGCAACATTTCTCATTGTCTGTCTTTTTGATCATAGCCATTCTAGCAGATACGAAATGGTATTTCATTGTGGTTTTAATCTGCATTTTCCTAATGACTAATGATGGTGAGCATCCTTTCATGTGCTTATTGGTTATTCATATATTTTCTTGGGGGAAATATCTATTCAAATCATTTGCCAATTTTTAATTGTTGTTTATCTTATTATTGTGTGTAAGAGTTCTTTGTATGTTCTGTATACACATCTTTTACTGGATATGTGATTTGCAAATATTTTCTCCCAGGCTGTGGCTTGTCTTTTTATTTTCTTAATGGTATCTTTTGAAGCACAACAGTTTAAAATTTTGATGAACTCCAATTTAACAATTTTTTTCTTTTATGGGTCATGTTTTTGGGATCGTATCTAGGACATTTTTATAGAACCTAAGGTCTTAAAAAATTTTCTCCTAAAGGTTGTTATAGTTTTAGCTCTAACATTTAGATCTACAATTCATTTTGAATTAATTTTTGTGTATAGTGTTAGGTAAGGGTCTAAGTTCATCTTTTGGCTTATAGCTGTCCATGTGTACCAGCACCATTTGTTGGAAGGACTATCCTTTCTCAATGAATTGCCTTGGTACCATTGCTGAAAAATCAATTGACTGTAAATATAAGAGTGTAGTTCTGGACTCTCAGTTCTGTTCCATTTATATATGTCTATCCTTAATGCAGTATCATGTTGTCTTGATTGCTGTAGCTTCATAGTAAGCCTTTTTTTTAACTTTTTATTTTATATTGGAGTATAGCCAATTAACAATGTTGTGATAGTTTCAGGTGCACAGCAAAGCAACTCAACCATACATATACATAGTAAGCTTTTAAAGTTTTAACATGAAAGTCTGCCAGATTTCTTTTAAAAATTGTTTTTTAGCTATTCTGAGGCTTTTGGTTTTTCATATAAGTTTTAGGATAATCTTATCAATTATAGAGAGAGACACATACACATTGCTGGAATTTTGATGGGGACTGCACTGAAACTATTGATTAATTTTGGAAGAACTGCCACTTTAGCAATATGGAGTCTTCCAATACATGAACATGGAATGTCTCTCCATTTATTTAGATTTTCTTTAATTTTCCTCAGCAGTGTTTTATAATTTTCAGTGTACTTGTCTTACAATTCTTTTGTTAAATCTATTCCTAAACTTTTATTCTTTTTGATGATATTATGAATGGAATTGTTTTCTTAATTTCACTTTTGGATCATTTATTCCTCATATATATAAAGATATAATTGATTTTCATACATTGATATTGTATCTTGCAACCTTGCCGAACTTGTTTATCAGATAGTGTTTTGAGATTTCCCTAGGATTTTCTATTCACAGGGTTATGTCATCTGTGAAGTTTTACTTCTTTTCAACCTTAATGCTTTCTACTTCTTTTTCTTACATGATTGCACTGGCCAGACCCCAAGTGCAATGTTAAACAGAAGTGGTGAGATGGACATTCTTTCTTTGTTCCTTATCTTAGGAGGAAAGCATTCAGTCTTTCACCATGAAATATGATAGCTATAGAGTTTTCACAGATGCCCTTTCTCAGCTTGAGGAAGTTTCCTTCTATTTCAGGTTTGTTGAGAGTTTTTTTTTTATTATGAATGGGTATTGGATTTTGTGAAATGCCTGTTCTGTATCTGTTGAGATGATCATGTAGTATTTGCCCTTTATCCTCTTAATATGGTTTGTTATGTTAATTGGTTTTTGGCTTTAAACCAACCTTGTATTCTTGGGATAAATCCCACTTGGTTGTGGTGTATAATCCTTTTTATATTTAACTAGATTTGGCTTCCTAATATTTTCTTGAGGATTATAGTGTCTATATTCACAAAGGATGTTGCTCTTTAATTTTCTTTTCTTGTGATGTCATTGTCTGGTTTTGGTATCATGGTAGTGCTGCCTCACAGGAGTCGGGAATTATTCCCTCTTCCTGTATTTTCTGGAAGTTTGTGTAGTATTGGCATTATTTCATTTTTAAATGTTCGATAGAATTTATCATTTAATCCATCTGGTCCTGAGTTTTGCTTTGTGGGAAGTTTTTAAATTACTAATTCTATTTCTTTACTTGTTATATGTCTATTCAGATTTTCTACATTTCTGAGTCAGTTTTGCTAATTTGTGTCTTTTTAGGTATTCATACATTTCATTTAAACTGTCTAACTTGTCATAAAGTTGTTCATGGTATTCCCTCATAGCTCTTCTATGTTCTGTAAGGTCACTAATAATGTCCTCTCTTTTTCATCCTGATTTTGGTGTTTTGTGGGTTCTCTCTTTTTTCTTGGTCAGTCCAGCTAAAGGTTTATCAGTTTTGTTATCTTTTCAGAGAATTAACTTTGGTTTAATTGATTTTTCTTTACTGATTTTCTCTTTCGTATCTTATTGATTTCCATTCTAATTTCTGTTTACTTCTTTCTTCTTGCCTTGTGTTTAATTAGCTCTTTTTTGGGGGTGGGATTCATAAGGTAGAAGCTTACTATATTGATTTGAGATCTTTCTTCTTTTCTAACATAACTTTATGGATATAAACTCTTTAGCTTTAGCTGCATGCCATATATATATATATATTTTTTAATTTAATTTTATTTTTTTGTGGTATGCGGGCCTCTCACTGTTGTGGCCTCTCCCGTTGCAGAGCATAGGCTCCGGACACGCAGGCTCAGCAGCCATGGCTCACTGGCCCAGCCACTCCGCGGCATGTGGGATCTTCCCGGACCAGGGCACGAACCCGTGTCCCCTGCATCGGCAGGTAGACTCTCAATCACTGCGCCACCAGGGAAGCCCCCATATATTTTTATATGGTGTGTTTTCATTTTCATGCAGTTCAAAAATCTTTTTCTTTGTAATTTCTTCTTTGACCCATGAGTAATTTAGAAAAGTGATATTTAATTACCAAATATTTGTGGATTTCACAATTTTTTGTTTTTTTATTTCAAATTAAATTCCATTGTGTTTCAGAGAATATGCTTTAAATTATTTCAATCTTTTTCAATTTGTTGGTACTAGTTTTACTGCTTAGAATATGGTTTATCCTGCAGAAAGTTCTGTGTGTACTTGAAAAGAATGTATATGACATTGTTTAGTGGAGTGTTCTATAGATGCCAGTTAGGTCAAGTTGTTTGATAGTGTTGTACCTATAAGGTACAGCAAGTCTTATATATCCTTGCTGATTTTCTGTCTAACTCTTCTCTCAATTTGGGGGAATCAAATATTGAAGTCTCCAAATTTATGGCTGAATTGCCTATTTCTTCATTTTTGTATCGTGTGCGTAGGCATAATTATGGCTCCCCAAAGATGTCCAAGTTATAATCCTTAGAATCCCTCAATATGCTATGTTACATGGCAAAAGAGAATTAAGGTTGCAGATGGAATTAATATTGCTAATCAGCTGACCTTTATAATATCTGAAGTAGCTCTTAGTCTAAAATGAATCATTATTCCTTTCTGCCCACAAAACCACACAACCAATACCAAATAAGGAAACCATGCACTGTCTTTATAGAGTAAGGGAATAAGATCCAGTATCCCATTCATTATGTCAAGCAGCAACAGATTTGGGCTCTTCTTCAGCCTTTTGCGTGACATTGAGCAAACTACTTAATTTTACCGAGCTTCAATTTTGTATCTTTAAAATGTTTTATACCTATTGCGGGATAATGTATATTAAATATTGAGCTCCTCAAACAGATGTTAAAAAATATAGAGAAAATAATCTAAAACTCATTTTGTGCAATGAGAGGTAGTGAGTTTGAAAACATTCACTACCTGGGCACTGGGAGGCAGCAACTCTTTTTTTAAAAAGTGGAAAGGGTAAATAAAACACAGAGAAAAGCTTGAGATTGCTTATATCTCACAACAAATGACATTCATGACCAATTCTGATTTTCCTTCACATTCTGTACCTTAAGCATCTAGGGAAAACTGCCTCACTCAGGCATCTGAAAACCTTTTTGCTGCCATGGTGCAGCAGAAACTCCTCCCCCACGCCATCTCTTTCTTCATCATTTGACTTGGAAAATTTAAGATGATAATTTTATTTCTGTGACTTTAATACTGAGAGTGAGCCCTTCAGAGAATCCAACTAGCACCTCCTTTTTTGAAACCCCTCTGTGTGTTCTTAATTCGGGCTTGCTACTGTCAGCCTACTCTCCAGCACCTTCCCTACCTCACTGCACCCCTGCTAACACACACCCACTGACACAATTTACACCCACACAATGACTCCAACATAAAGTGTAGGCTTGTGAAGCAGCAGACTTTTTGAGAACCACAAATGCAGACATCAAGGCAATCTCCAGTTACATAAATTGCAGGGCCCCATGCAAAAGAAAAATGTGGGGCCCTTTGTTCAAAAAGCAGGAACAAAGTGCCATTAAAGGTACTAAATGGTACTAACTTGTCCTTTCCTCTGTGGTCTCTCTCTTTCTCTTGACTTGTCATGATGTTTTTTATTTGCTCTTTAATATGATTCTAAATAAAGAAAAATTTAAAAATTGAATTATTAGCATGAATTTTACCACTCATCTTTATATTGCCCAATGCTACTTTTAAATGCAAATTAACCTGTATGTCAAATCACCAAAATTAGACAATTAGTATTTTGTAGCTCATAGGTGCATATATATTTAATTCGTACCAGGACAGTAGAAATACTACACAAAATGACACCAAATATTTTTTTTTGCTCGTATCTCTTTGGCTTTATCGTCTCATTGGGCTTCACTTACAAAAC